CAGCTCCTTGGTACTCGATCTTCTTAGTGTTCACAAAGCTCATGTCCTTCTCAATAGGTGTCAGCTTCTCGTTCTGCATCGGCGGTGATCTCACTTCCGTCGCATGAATCATGTGGAGACGACTCAACACCTTGTCGATGTAAGCCTTTTGTGATAAACAGCGATTCTCCACGTAGTTGACCTCCATACCCAGTAGGTTGTGCACACGACCCCAATCCTTGATTAGAAATTCCGACTGCAATTAAATCTTGACTCACTTGAAGTCATCGCTGCTATAATACCAATGATCATCATATCGTCCACGTGACCTGTCATCATCACCAATCTCTTGTCGATCCACTTGCAGTATAACCCACGTCGTAGTAGCTCCTCTTGACCTTTATTCTCGTTGAATGTCGGTGTAGCGTTTGGTACCAGGGCCTAGCCTCCTGTTTCAGCCCATAGCGTCCCTTGAGTAATAAACACACTCTGCCTATTTCGACGTCAATCATCTCTGACTGCTCAATGTAGATCGTCGCTCCACCAATCTTGCTATTTAGGAACGCAGTGTCAAAATCCACCTGTCCGCGTTCAACGAGAGCAACAGCGCGATCACCAATATTTTAATCAGCATTGCAGTCCAGCGAACCACCGGCGAGCAAGTCTTCCAAAACTCCTTGCCAAACCGCTGCTTGAATCCATGCACAGCTAACCTTGCTTTGTAACGCTACACTTCACCACGCTCGTCTTGCTTCACTCACAAGGTCCATTTCGTAGTCAACACGCTCATGTATTCCTCGACACGAGCATCCACGTCTTGTTCTTCTGCAAAGACGAAAAAATCCATCTTCATCGCACGCTTCCAATACTTCCACTGCGGCGAATCCAACGCTTCATCCACACTAGTCGGGTCTGATATGTCATCAATCATTATAAACTGATAGCCGTTCAATCTCACATTTCCCCTCCGAGCTCTATCAGATCTCCGCACTGATTGCGCTGGATTATTACTTCGTTCTCGTTGCCTTCTGCCGTTTGCATGCGCTGATACAGGTGCGGGTTGAGCTTGAGCAGCCGTAGCTCCATCATCGTCATCTTCCAAGTCACTACTCGAGTCATCGTCCTCTGTTTCAACTCCTACCAGTCTGTTGCCCTATGCCACCGCTTCAGGTAGACCTCTGTAAACGTCTTGAACTGCCGTGTCATGCACAGCCTCTTGAGCAACGAGCTCCATCGACAACGGCACGTACGGAATGTACTCGTACCTTGCGTGTCTTCCCACCAGCAGTGCTTTCAAGTACGTCTTGCTGACCGTGATGTCGGCACGAAACGTCACGTCCCTAGCTTCCACAATCCTGCTAGTTCGCAAGGGCAACAACTAGTAAATCGGCGTTGCACGTGAGAATCCAAGCAACAATGCCGGTTCCGCCTTCGGGCTCAGCTTGTCCACCCTCTTTGCCATGTAAAACGAATCCAACAGAGCCACAGAACATAATCTTGCCCACGTTCGGCTTCTTGCCAAGCAGTTTCTCCGACGGTGACTTTCCATTCTACGCTCGCGTCGCACTCGTGTTGTCGATGTCGACAATGTACCATAGCTCCTCCGGCCACAACCGGGTCGGCATATCCGCCGCCTGTATTGCCGCCCTGCCTTATTCACCAGAACTCCGTTCAGCTTCCTTTTCCACCAACGCGTTTCATCTGGCGTGTAGGCGTGAGTAGGCACTAAATCGATCCCATTCACCTCCAGAAAGTTATTCAGCTCACGATTAATAAATTCACCTTACTGTCACTAGAGAAAGTTTTGACCCCGTGACCTTGAGCCTTCAGCTTCTGAATCAATCTAATACTGTTGCTGTTGGCGTCGCTCTTCGCTTGACCGGAAACAGAA